GCATAGATACTAAGCGTATACCATCATCTTGTGTCATGAATCTTGCTCATAGAGCCACCCGGGTATATAGACTTGTGTAGGAAAACACAATAAGAGAACTTCTAGTGTTAAACTAAATGCATAAAAATTGTATGATGTCCTGCAGTTAAAATGGTTTTGAAATGGATATCACTTATTTTACACAGACTTTTGTAATAAATTTGTATTCTCTAAAACTACAGTAACCGAATAAATTATGTATCATCATAACCTTGTAATACTCTACAAATATTTTAAAAAATCATGGACAAGATGGTCAAAATTGATCGTGCACCAGAGGTCACTAAGTTTATATGGACTCATATAGGAATATTAATGCTTATTTAAGTCCTCTCGTGAGAAACAATTCTGAGAAACTTGATATTAGGCTGTTTCTTTTAAAGCATCCTTACAATATTTCACAAATCATATATATGTTATGACAAAATTGATACACCCAAAAACCTACGTTTATAAAGAATTGTGACCTTTCCCCAACAATGGTGTGTGATTTAGGGTCATCATTGCCCTGTTATTGAAATAAAAAATCGATATAATTAATTTATGAATTACAATTATTTTATTTTAAATCATCAAAAACTGTATGTAGGTCAGGTGATATCATTGATATATCTGTTTCACAACACATAGAATGAGATGATGTGATAGTAGCCTTTTTTATATATGCAAAAATTATTATCTTATTGAGTTAGCTTTAAATAAAGCCATTTTCATATTTTCAATATGAAATTGTGAAGGAGTTAATAATATGCGTCAATGGACAACCTTATTCATGTGCATGTTTGCTCTTTAAAGCATGTTTGTTGGCTTATTGTCTTCTTATATATCTTTACAATTAACAATTAATAAACAATATCATGATATTGAAACAAGTAATATCACGCAACCAAATTTAATAACTGAGTGTATACTAATTAATGTATGTGCATTTATTGATATTTTAGCTCACCTACTTGACCCAAAGAAAGACATATATTTTATAGCTTCCTACACAATCAAACTAAAATGAATTCTGTATAAACCAAAGAAAGACAAAAATACATTCGTCCAATAAAGAATACTTTTTAATAGGGAACATTTGCATAATAATTAAGAGAAAAAGCGAAGAAAAAACTTACGGTCAGTGTAAATTTTGTTGGTTTTCTATTGTAATTATAGGATAAATTTACCCCACCCACTTTGACAAAATATAAAACCTACAGTTTTTATGGTTCTCTCATATGTTAACAACAAACCCTATTTTGAATTGAATTACAAATAAGAAATAAAGTTGTTTTTTTTTAATTTTGCATATAGAGTTAGAAAACCAAATTAAGAGAAATATGCAAAAAATGAGATTTTTTTCTTGATATCTTTAAAGATATTTTAGACATAAACTTAAAAAACTTTATTTTCATTATGATTAACATATGATTTGATAATTTTTGATATGTTTTAACACTTTTTTTATCGAAATAAACATAATTTGTGCTACAAATTATACTATAGAAATTATATAACAGTTTTGCGTAAAATCGGCGGCCATATTGGACGCCATCTTGGATTGAGAAGAGGTACGAACGCGGAAGTTTGTAAAATTAAAATTTTTGTAAAGGAGACACTTTATACATGCTTCGGTGTAAGTTTCAGGTCTTTACAAAAATTTTGACTGAATGAGTTATTTATGTGCGTCAAATTTAAATGGCGGCCATTTTGAAAATGGCGGCCATCTTGAATGAGCAGAGATATTTTTGGGCCCACTTCACTTTTGAAAACCATGTGGTCTAAAGATGATTTCCTGAAAGTTTCATGCTTGTATCACCATTTGCACTATTTTCTCAATTTCCCGCCCCACTACAACATGTAGACAGGAGGAGGTAACTGTATCAGTATTTTGACAGAATTATGCCCCTTATTCGACTTAGAATTTACATTTATTTTTGCATACCACCTCAGATATTTTTATATTCTATTGGCATCTGGCTTTGAAACAAGTTGAAATTTTATACCCTTCTTTGAGAGCATAATTGGACTCTCTTCAAGGCCTATAACTGTAACATGGTTTAAAGAAAAATTTTGCCCTTTTGTTAACTTTGAAAATTTTACATTATCAAGGCTTTTTTACTGTCAAGCACTAAGAATAGTCGAGCGTTGCTGTCCTACCGACAGCTCTTGTTTAAAAAGGTATCTTTTAACTCATCATGATATACGGAAGTTCTGCAGTCCTTTGAACACATATCAATTAAACCAATGTCACATTGTGCTTGTATCTCGTCTCTGTGGCGCAATCGGTTAGCGCGTTCGGCTGTTAACCGAAAGGTTGGTGGTTCAAGCCCACCCAGGGACGATTTTTTCTCTTTTATTCTTCGTAAAATTCTACATGATAAAATACAAATTTTCTATTTCAAAAATCAGCATGTTGAAATATAAACAAGTCAAGATTAAATATAAACGATGATTGTATTTCAATCGATTAGAGTTTTTGACATTTAGTCGGTTGTCATTTTTTCTAGCCCACCGTAGGATCTTGTATCTTTGTGATATGGCTGCCTTTCTCCTAATTAAATGGCTAATACGACGCAAAAACTTGAAGAAAAACACACCTCAATATGTGTAAAAGAATTAGGCAAAGATATACTTTGTAAAAAAGTAAAGACGCCCAACGTGGGGCTCGAACCCACGACCCCGAGATTAAGAGTCTCGTGCTCTACCGACTGAGCTAGCCGGTCTTAATACACTTTCTAAATCGGACAATGGCCTGTGCTTCCAGAAAACCTTTTTTCAAATTTATAATTTTGACTGGTCATTTTGCAAACATTAACGTCTACATGTAGTAAGACCGCATAGACTAACTGATATTTTATTGATATATTGAATCCAACACCTTATATATCAGTTTAGATAAGCTTCGACTCATTTTAATCATTGAGGTTTAAGGATGCAATCTGATACACGAATTGTTTTAGAATGTCGGGATATTGATTATTCCTGATATCAATAATGTTTATGTATTTATGCATGCATTCATGAACAAGACTAACAAAATATTTACTGCTTATACCAATACAATACTTTAATCACAAGTAAACCATGTTATGTCGCCAATGTAAGGGACTGCTGAAAGAAGCTTTAGAGTTTAAGAATCAAACGTAGTTAATTTAGCTCTCTATACTAGCTGAGCAAGGCGGGGTTCAACAAACATTAAAGCATATTTATGTCGTAATTGTCTTATTATAAATACACTATTTATGTCAAGGTTAAATGTAAACGATAATAAATTATTGTTTTCTTGGTATAATCGGTAAGCTCGTACGGCTGTTAACGGAAAGGCTGATGGTTCAAGAAAAACCAGGAGCACCTTTATAAAAATGAGAAATGGCTGTCTTGCTCCTTGCGATTTTAAGAAATCAGCAAAAAATACCAGTTTCCGGCAATTAATATTCTCATTGGTCAATAACGCATAAGGAAGCTGAACCATGCATATCTTGACAAATGTACTGATGAAACATTTGCAGAGTAAACATATATAAACATGAAACTTATTTCTTACCAGAATTTGACAGAGATATAACAAAAACACCCGACGTTGGATTGGGACCCACAACACCGAGATAAAGAGGCTCGTGCTCTTCCAACTGAGCCAGCCGGGCTACGTACACCTTGTAATAATAAATCAGAGGTTCGGGTGCATGATTGTGAAGTCATTTTAAACATAACTGCATTATAAAAACAAAGTCATTTAACTCAATCAAAGCACAGAAGGCACTGAATTTGTTTGGGTCTCAGAATGTCAGAAAGGTGAAGGTTGTGAGATTATAAACCAATTTGTTTTTGTATAGTGCCACCAATGCTTTCCAGCGTTTTAATTGTAGTAAATTGGCTATAAGAGAAATTGCAACACTGATATTCAATTCAATGTTTATTTGACTTAAACAATTTGAAAAAAAAATGAGTTGTCTTAACTGGGATTTGAACTCCAGACCTCTCGCTTCCTAAGCTAATAGGGTCTTTATAAACGACATATATGTCACTCGGTTAGCGCGTTTGCCTGTTAACCAAAAGGTTGGTGGTTTAATCCCATTAAAGGACGTTTTATATCTTTGAGCTGTTTGTAAAGTTGTTGACGTGATGAAATGAGAAATATTAGCATGTTATGTTGACTTTTTATTTTAATCCATTAAATTTGGCATGTCAGTGCCACATATCAAATGCCGCAACGCTATGTCATATTACAGTCTAATAACATGTAAGTCAGCTTCATAAAAACAATGGTCCTCGCATATTTATTGTAAGAAATGCTTTGTCTTATTTTTGTCTGTGAGGGGTAAGCACACCATCTGATACACGTATTGATTTGAGATATATTGATACATGTATAACAACATTTATGCATTTATGTATGCATTATTGAATAGGAATAACAACATAAATACTGGAGAGAACCGTCATTTTACCAACATTTTATTATTCACAAAATAAACCATATGTTGCTATTCAATGGACAGCTACAAAAACTATAGAAATTCAGAATCTAATTCTGTATACCTTGCTGTTTACACTGGCTGAGCAAGTAGAGCTTTGAAAAACAAAGTCCTTTACGCGGATCTCAAATAATACTTGAGAAAAACATCATTTTAACAATACTTTATTCACAAAGTAAACAATGTTATGTTATCAGATATGGGTCGGGTAAAACAATATTCAGTTCTGAACAATAAGATGTCAATACAAGCAAAGCAAGCCATTATTTCAGCAAACAATAAAACAAAAACAATGCGCATATTTTAGTTAAAATTGTAACACGGTTAAGCCCAGATATATGAAATAATTAGACTAGACACACACTTTAATGTGTCCTGTTAACTGAAACGTAAGTCTTGCTATACCTGCCACAATAGTATTATAGAAAACGTTACCCAAATTTTGAATGTTTTTAGGACCAAATTGTATCATTCTTAAATACTCTTATAGTCATTACTTACTGTGAGATCCAACAGTGTGACGCAGCTGTTGTCATGGGAGACTGCCTTCACCAATATCTTCATACCATCCAGTCCTAATGGGTTATGACCGATCTGTCAACGGAATAATAATATAAACTATTAAATAACTTCTTGAAATCTAAATATCTTTAATAACCTAGATTGTTGCTATTCTCTCTATCAATCTTTTGGAATGGCGGAATAACGCTTGCAGAAAGCCCTTGTTGATTTAAATTAATAACAGGTTTTCTTATATCATTTAAAAAAAATGGAAATACACACAATATTCTTATACAATGCATTGTCACCCTCATTATTGTAAATATCAATCATCAAAAAGAAAGAACCTATAATACATGTATGTAGGATAACATACCTTGAGAATTTTTAGAACATCATTCGTCTCTAAAGATTTGCCAATTACTGTAGCACCGACAGCCGCTATCCTGTTATTGCTGACGTCAATCGACGTTATTGTTCCCGACAGTTTTATAATGTCAGCCACTCCGAATGCTCCTTCATTACCGAGTCCATTCATGGAAAGGTTGACAACGCTTAACCTACAGTTCGACTAGAATAAGGAAAGAGTTATCTCTACTCGATTATTACGGTAAGCAATGTTCTTTTTAATCTATTTACATGTATTTCAGTTAAAACATATGAATACACGTAGGCATGCGTGTTTTATGTAAATAGTTGGTTTAATTTGAAAAGAAAGAACATTTAAGCTTGTCAGTTAATTTAAAGCCATTATTTTAAAGTTAAGCTACAAAGAGTCTTATTTAAGTGAAAGCAAAATTATCAAATTTTAGTATGGTGTCTTGCAATGTTGTTGTTGTTAAAATTTCTAAAAAAATATTTACAGCAATTGCACTTGTAAGACTTGCAGCACTTTTCAGTCTAAAATTATTCCAGCTAAAATCGATATGTTCTATCGCCTCGTTTTCAGCTAAAGATAAAAATATAAGTCATTATACATTACAAGCGGTGTCCTACTGGTGCCTACATAAACATTATCCTGAATCTTGAGTTTGGCATAACTGAAGTTATGATAATGTTTCTTACATGTTTTCCTTACTATTGCTGGTTGTTTCACAAAATGATATAACAGTAATTACTGTAGAAAATAAATAATGTCTTCATAATATAAGTCTTACAGTCATAATGACTGTTGATATCAATTTGTTTAAAGGTCATCTCTAAAATTAAATCACTGCGCATCAATCCTTTTTATAAGTAAACGTGAAAGAAAAGTAACCGCAAAAGGCGTTTACCTTATTTAGTAATACTGAATACCATTTATATATAAAAATAATGCAAGGAAATCATTATAGAATTGTACAAGTGTACAGCATATCAATGCGCTCAATTTTATTGAAGGTATGAACATATCTTTACTTACATATAGCACCGGCAAGTACTGTACTTGATGTCTGCCCAAAATTATTACGACTTAGATTTAATGTCTTTAACCTGTTGTTTTCCTAAAATTTACGTAATAAATAGATAGAGAAAAATATGCGACATGAAACAATGCATAACAAAAGAAACGAATATATAACATTTAAAAAATCTGAAAAAAAGTGTGATCCCTCAGAAGTATTCATGACAACAAAGTAACATGAAAACATCAGGCTCGTTTTGATTTAGTTTGTACATGAGGGGCAATGAAAAAGTGCAACATCCCTCACGCCCTATAGCACCGCCTTAAGCGTTAGTCAATTTTCAACACTTACAGTGCTGGAATGAGTGATTCCGAAGGACCAGAAAAAATATAATTACACTATTTGAATGACGCCTGTGTTATTTTGTTGTTTGTTTGTTTGTTTTCTTGTCATATTACATGCACATTATATCATATGTATGGCAATGAACATATTGTATGTTTATGCTGAATAAACTCTTGAAACTTGAAACTTGTGTATGAATGTGATTGTCGTTATAATTATTCATTATTTGCATTATAAACTTCCCAAAAACCTTTATCTTTGTTCCGTTTTGACCACTAGTATATATGGTCATTGAAGTACTACGCATTTTGGTAATATATGTTCAACCCTATATATCACAGTTCTAAGCAACTGCGATGTTGTTAAAAGGCAATGCCTCCGTTGGCAATATAATCAATTTAATGAATGATGACAACAAAAGCGCTGAAGATGATGTTTAAGACGATGTTTATGACGATGTTTATGAGGGCATTGATAACGACGGCGATGCGGATACACGTAGCGCTGGTATTGGTATTGGTTATTCCAAAAGTAAATATATGTGATGACAATCTTTCTAAAAAATACTATTTGTAACTGTATCAATATGTGAGCCGTGTCATGACAAAACCAACATAGTGCGTTTGCGACCAGCATGGATCCAGACCAGCCTGCGCATCCGCGCAGTCTGATCAGGATCCATGCTGTTCGCTATCAGTTTCTCTACTTGTTATAGGATTTGTAAGCGAACAGCATGGATCCTGATCAGACTGCGCGGATGAGCAGGCTGGTCTGGATCCATGCTGGTCGCAAACACATTATGTTGGTTTTGTCGTGACGCGGCTCATGTAATATCTAAACAACAAACAGTTACTCACATAAATGGCTCCTGCAATATACTCAGCGTCCTTGTCAGAGAAATCATTCGCTGAAACATAAATCAAAATATGAAAGGGATGTCTGTCTTTTGTATCATGCAACCTGGCGTCAGGATTGAGCGTGTGTGGACTAACGGCCACTGCGCGGACTTTATACTCTCCAGTGATTTTTATGTTCTGAAGCTGACCATGTAACAATAATTTATTCATTTATTGACAATTTACCTCTTTTTCCTTTCATGTTGATTTAAATAATGATATATCGTTCGGTCTTTTTTTTCAAAAATAGCTCTTTTACAGGTTGACAATTAACACCACCTGTGTTGAGAGGGGAAAAACAGACGTTCAGTACAGAGATCATCAACCATCCCTCTTTCACACCATAAACATCCTGAACTAGTCAATGATATATAATCAAGATAGCCTGACTGTCATGAAAATCATATAATATAGTAAATAGTATGATGCATGTATTTCAAGGAAATCAACTTCGAGAAAAATGTACTAAAGTTTTAATTAATATAAAAAATATTTACTATTCAAGTAAGATTTACTTGTTATATGCAAAGAATGGTTGATTTCTACAGTGTGACTAACACAGTAATGGCTATTTTTGCATATTTTGACCTTTATTTTGATAATTTACGTGGATTGAAAGTGCCTTTTGCAAAATGTAAATTACTTTCTTTGTTCACTTGACAATATTTAATTTTTTATTACATTTTCAATATTTTTTTATGAAAATTACCATGAATTCGGAGGCATGCTGCTTTAAAATTGTTTTAGAACAAAATTAAGTTTCGATGTCTTACAGTATACTGGACTCTATATTAAAACAAACTACTATTACCAGATAAGTCTATACTTTGAAGAGTGACGTTTGTCTGTAGTACCCTACATATTGCCTCACATCCTCGACTTCCAAGTTTGTTGTTAGACAGATTCTGAAAACACGGAAAATAGCACCGTTAAATATGACATAAAATTCTATAACATATCATTTCGTGTTTCTTCTTTTTTTCTTCATCATTTGCTCTTTAATAATCTGTGAACTTTGTGCTGTCATTCAGCATTATAATCCTTTTTGTGGACTACGAGCTATGCTCAAGTCGAAAAAAATAAAATTGTGTATGGTGCTCCGTAAGGACCAGCGCCTTTTCTATGAGTACGATGGTGCCAGTACGATGTCGAAGCACGACATTACGATGGTGATAGTCAGTCGTACTGTCGTACCGCCGTACCTTATACAACACCTTAATTTTATGTCATTATTTTATTGTATGCTTTTGAAATAAGTTTTGTTTAATCTATCATATCACAAAATGAATATATAACTGAGTATAAGAAAATCTCAGATTGTATAATTACACTATCAGTAATAGGAACAGTCAATTGCATTTATATAGAATAGGTAAAACATTATAAAGATATCTTCTAGTTATAGAAAAATTCATTGATGAAGTAAAACGTAAGTGTTTATGATGACATTTGAAATGCAAGAATCGACAAAATTCTATTTTCTTTCCATTTTGGGACTGAGGAAGTCTACTAAAGATTCCATAAGCCAAGCCTGAAGTCTATGAGCAATTGAGAGTTCTACCCAACAACATGTTAAATTCTTACCGTTATGTACTCTTATATACATGTATAAATATAGATTATAAAGTACCAGATCAGTGATGTAACAGTTTTCATTGATCATTGCCGCCACATACTCCCCACCTTCCTCTTCCATCCAGTTATCTTCTAAATCAAGTGATAGTATATATGTGTTTCTCTAAAAATATAAAATAAAAGATCAATTAACAATGTGTTGTTGTTTTTGTTTGTTGTTGTTGTTTTTTTTGTTGTTTTTTTTTTTTGGGGGGGGGGGAGAAATAAAAAGTCATAAACTTTTCACTGTGTTTCCATGAACATGAAAACTAAAATGATCAATTAATAACATAACAGCGAATCAAGACTTGTTTTGCCTCTATTTTCAGTAATATTACATTTAATATAATTCTAGTATAAATTACTGAGCAAGGAGTCATACAGTAATTCAAATATAAATCTAAACTTTGTGTTTGTAATGCAATTTAAAGACTTCTCATTCATCACAAGTACAAAAACATTTTGTTCCATCGGATATTGCGAATTGCTAGAACTGCTTTTCCCCAAATGATAAAATAGTAAAGAAAAACAACAGACTTTATTTCTTTACATGTGTATAGCATTTTTTTAAAATAACATCCATTATAATTACTTTTAACACATCTTACCATAAATTTAGAAGATTTCAGATTTTTCGATTTTAAAAAAAAGTAGCTATTTCAAATTGACCAGATGCTTGGCTATCATGTACAGTATATATGAAAAGTGAATGTATCTTTTCCTAATTTATAACATTGTGCATGTGATTATCTGTAGCGAGAACAATGATAATTTCTCATAACGTATTTGTTTCAAGTTATATATCACACGTTATAAAAATGACAATTTTCAAACGAATCATGGTTGCGGACTGTGGTTTAATTGGTTAGTGATAGATTGTCAACGGAAGATCAAAAGTTTCATCCATTATATATAGACAGAAAAAAATAACAGAAAGTACTATATATATTGTATATATTGCTGTTAACATACCTTGATAATAATGTATTTCACAGACAAATGGTTAACAGGTAGATCTACATCAACGTAACGTAACGCTTGAAAATTTATCTGACGTATTGTTAGCTTTCATGTGTCTTGACAACGAAGTATAATTTAGAAAAAAAAATAAGACAAAAAAAGGGAAACAACGATGAATTTTAGTGTTTTCTGTGGTAACGAAAAAGTCATGAAATTCTCATTTTTGGACGTTAACGTTTCATACGTTAAATTTTACGTTGATGATTACGGTAACAAATAACGTGAGAACAATTGTATATCCATTGTTGTTAAAGTCTTTAATGTGCTAATTAATTTGTTGAATGTTCTTAAATACGCAAAACAGAGACATACACCGAGATTGTTTTCTCTTTTTTTGTTCTTTTTTGTTGTTTTATTTTTATTACCTCTATGTAGTATTTTTTGTCAAAGGGAGGACTTCCCTAAGATATACACCAGAGATCCTTTTCTGTCAAAATTTCATCTCATGTTGATCCAAATGGTTTGAAATTCTTATCCAATGCGAACAATATTAACTTAAGTCAATTACGTCTATGGTTTTATTCTTTACTGATTAGAACTGTTGATACAACAGTTGCGGACATGGTCCAAATTTGTTCTGTAAATGGTCAGATTAATCTATAAATAAACTCGTTTTCTTACCATAAGAGGGTATGACAATGCTTTCATCCCTTGAGATGCCAGGCCATGGTGGGCAAGGGAGAGGTGTGTGTCAGTCATGTGTCTGAGAAAGTAGGACACAGGAATTAGTCCCAATTTCTTACACACGCTAAGATACGTAGCTCTCCCTGTGACATCAAATTCTTCTTTTTCATCTGAATATGATCAATATAAATCATTAAGTTACACACATGTTTAATATCATCATAAATATATAGTCAGTGTTTAAATTTACTTGTAGAAAATCATATCGGAATTTTGAATATTCATGTTGAAATATACTCAGTAATGTGAAGAAGTACAGATAACTTTCAGAGAGTGTACCAATTTGACCCGTGTTTCATTTTGTTCCTCCTATATTTAGCAGAATAATATTATTTATCAACATTAAAGATTTTCTGTAAAAACAGTTTATCATTCATAAAGAGAAACATGTATTATTAGCTATATAAAATTATATACTAGTATTAAAAACACAGTAATATGCATGACGGTTACAACCATGGACAATATTTAATTAGTGCAATATCATCCACGCCCCCTAGCACCGGCTTGAGCGGCACTCAATTCTCAACACTTAAAAGTGTTGGAATCAATGATCCCGAAACGAAGGACCAGATAAGTATAACAACACTGAGGTAAAGTACGGGGTAATTTGATATTGTAATATATCTACAGTAGAGTTGTAGTCTATATTTAAATAAAATTGATGTGAAAGCCATTATGTATGTATATATACAATGTATGTTTTAGCATAAGAGTCCTTTATTTTGGAGTCTATATGTACAGATAAGTAAAGTATGAATAGAAAAGAAAAGATCTACATATATATCTATCTGTTGTTTCACTGAAATAAACAAGAGTTTGTTGGGAAGTTACTTACAGTAGGTCTACATTATATAGAACGTTACCCGTAAATTCAAGGTCAGTTTCGACATCATCCTCCTCTTCTTTGTCCTTCTTGTCTTTCAATCTCGACTTTGCAAAGGACGCCAATAGTTCACTTAGAATATCAAACAAAAGCAAGTACAAATTAAAAGAGCAAGTTTCAATTAGATCTAGTATGTGAGAATGTCAAATATAAGGAATGCTGTTTTGGAAAATACAAAACAGATAATTTGTTATAAGAGCTCTAATAGAATCTAATGATAATAATATTAATAAAATAATATTTCTTGTAAACAATTTTAACAGATACAGTAACACTGTACTGTATAGTAGGATGGTTCCCTATGGTACCACTGTTCTTACCCGCGGGAGTAAGTAGTTATACTACTGGTCGGAGACCATCAACAGGACACTTTTGGAACATTTTTCCGTACAGATTTCATAATTTTTAACCTAGAGCCAAAAAAATTTGACACAGTTGAGCTAGGTTCTTCTCCTAACTAACAAACTAGTTTGTTTATTTCTGTTTTTATTGACAATTATATCTGAGGCTCGACAAGGAGGGTATCAAAATTACCTAAATTGTCTTTAAACTACAGTAGGCCTACCATGTGTCCGACAGATATGTACATGACGTGATTTAATTCAGATAAAAGCTTGGGTGTTTTGATTTTTGATTTTTAACATGATATGCAATATGTCAGCAGCAAATGCTGAAGTGTTGGATATTCTATTATTCACTTTGCACATGATTATAGCTTGTATATGAGGTCAGGCATTGCTGTTTTGACCCCCAAATCTCAATGTCAACATTTTTGAAATAGACATTTAAATATTACCATTTACGGAGATTGAAATAAATTTATTTACTTTATTTTAAAATAAACATGCACTTATTGTTGATAAAAAAGTGACTGACAACCACTGAACAAAGAAAATACTAAATTAAGCATTTTCGGGGCCGTCCGGGTTTGGTGGTTGTCCGGTTTTGGTGGTCCCCAACCAGTAGACTACGTATCCCGGTGTAACCTAAATTCGGCGATATAAGATCAAATGTCAATGGCATTTTCAATTAACTACAGTAATCTATAATTATACTTGATATAATTTTACTGCAACTGTTTTAAAGTTACTTAAAATTGATTTCTTACATTGTAATCGTTCAGCGGTTGCCAAATATAAACAAATATGGCTGATGCGATCTGAAAACGTCACCTAAATTCGGCGATTCTGGTTGGTTGCAGTAATTTTGGCGGGATTGTGACGTAGTATGTTGACCTAGATCGGCAGTAAAAATAGTAAGATAACAGACAGCGACTGTCAAATTATTTTAAGCAACAATATCAATCAAAAAGAGGAAAGTATAGATAAACTTGAAATTGCATCAGGTGAAACACACAATTTTCTCCATGTCATATACAATTTTTAATGTTTACCAGTCGTATCTCAATCTTTAGCGCAGAAAATCACTGAGTTGTAAAAATAGACCGCGAGACATAAACATGATTGACCTTCACCTCTGAAATCTCGCGTAAATGACGAAAAACAAAACATCGCCGAATTTAGGAGAACGCCGAATTTGGGTCACGGTAGGTCAATACATTTTATCCAAATATAGATCTTATACTGTCGTGATGAATGAACGAAAGAAAATAGATCTACTCCTGCAAGTTTGTCAAGTTTGTTAGGTAATATCTCAACGTTCAATCCACAAAACCCGGTTTCATCAAATTCATGACAAACTTACCAGCAATTGCATACTTCTCTGCAAGTGTCAGAGAAGTAGACTACCTCGATCTATCTAGAGAAGCTCAAAGTAACAATTACCCGCTATTTTTTGGATCAATTAAGGTACTGGAAGTGTCTTCCGATGTTTCTTCAAGTTCTTCTTCTTCCTCGTTTTCTTCTTGTATAGAGTCTTCGATAATTGGACACATAACATCGGTCATTTTGATGAAAGCGGTGCAATGGCGTCAGTATTATATTCGATGACGTCAAAAATGACGTCATATACTAACATGACGTCACAAATGTGCACGGTATTAGTTGCGTATCGCCGATGTATACACAAAAGAAATTCCTCGAACTTCATCTCGGTTGTTTTAATATTTTTATGTCTTTTGCGATTATTCATTTGAATATGATCAATGCCTTTTTTCAAGCATGATGAATGCTAATTATCGAAAGGTCAAGGAATAAGAATGGACCAATACCCGGTAGAGGATTCAATTTGTATGATTTTTTTAATTTTAAAAAAAGATGGTAGATCTAACCTATTTCTTGTTTTATCTTTTTTTGTATTTTTTTTTTGTCATCCGTTGCCGAGTGGTTAATGTCGCAGAACTGAAACAGCTGTAAGTTGGAATCCCGACAGGACTTTGGATTATTAAGTATAATTATATCAAGAATATAAGCTTTTAAAGCATTGTAAATCATACATCTAATGCCTTAGATTAAAGGGAGAAATTAACATTTTATATCAAGGTTTTTTGCGTTGAATTATTTTGATGATTTTACACTTTTGATACGGAGATTGTGACGTCAAAGCTTTAAAGATATCATGCAGCTACGCTTAAAAATGATAAATAGAAGAAATCAAAACAAATTTTGATACTATTACTGTAAATTTATAACATTTGAATAATAATGCTGTTTTTTTTCTATTTAGACATACTCACATAGATCTAGATCTACATGCATTTAAATAATGCCACTGACAAGAAGATTTAGGGTTTTTTTGCAAATAGAAACAAAAGCTGGACTGACTGGTTCAAATACATGACATTTTATGGAAGCGGACAGTAAATTCTTGTAATATCGAGGTACAATCAATGCTAAACTTGTAAGAATTAATTTAATACAATAAAGTCACAAATCTTTACTAGATCTATAATGGTACAAAAATTGTGAATTTAATATTCATAGTATGCTACTTTCTGCATTGCCTTTTGCTTGAACACAACTTAAGCTATGGAGCTTGAGAAATGTCTAGCTTTTTATTGTTACTTTAGAATATATACAATTAAACTTAATTAAAGTATTTGCAAACATTTTGACGTAAATATTTTTGTCTCGCCCGTTGTTACAGATCATTAGAATACGTTAAGGAGAGAAGACAGTCAATGTCAACTATGAAGGGAGGTTGCGGAATAATGAAATTCACAATTCTAGTCTCTCCCCAGCCTCAGATGAAGCCTAACATGATATGTAATTTTACTTATTATAGTTCATGTTAAACGATGAACTTTACATTGAAAAGACATAGGACGATATCCCATATTTTATTTTATCATGTCATTACATTGATTTCTGTTGATAAAGTGCATGCCTGATAAACCTAGCTTTATCAGTCACCCCAAGCTTTATCAGACACCTCATCAAAAATATGCAAAATTTGCGAAATGAAATAAAAAGAATGGAATATATTTTCCTGCTACTGGGTTGGAAATGTTTAACTGATAAACTTTGAATCGAATAGAAATTTTGAATATGAACGCGTCACTTACAATTAACTAAAACATTCGGGACTATTTCTTTTTGATTTGGCATTTCACATATTATTGCGCGCCGTCTGAACACGAGAGGTTCTGGATAGGGTTTTGCTTCAATTAAAATAAAAAAATTCAAACAACAATTGAAATTGAAAACATGATAAATAGAATACCAAACAAGTGTCTAATATTATAAAATTTATCAGGCTCGGCACGAAAAAAAAGGAGAGCTCGGCACAGCCTCGCCCTTCTTTTTTTTCTTAGCCTTGCCTGATAAATTTTATAATATCAGACACTAGCATGGTATTCTCTATAAGTAAATCAATATTTGATTTTACTGTAGTATATCATTTTTTATATATTTTTTTTCTAATTGTTCAAAAAGAAAATAAGAAATAAAAAATATCACTTTACTCTATAAAAAAAATCAAATATGTGTTAATGTCGCCATTAGTGTATAACTTTTATACAGGTTTTTAATATTTAAAAATAGTGTATTTTATAAACGAAATATTTATTTTAATTATTAAATCCTAGCATAGAATTTGAATGTATCACGTGTCAACAGAAGCCGAGTGATATATTTACCATACGGCTTCAAGAACGCGCTACTATATACATATAAACTTATCCCTTTCACAAAATCAAATCATGCTACGGATATAAAATATCATTTTCGCAAATATTATTTTACAAATTGAAAACGAGAAGCAAATATTGAAACGAAATCTTGGTTACAAGTGTGCTTAAATTTTGTTTAAATATTTTATAAATTTCTTCTTTTTAGATATAATGTGTTACGAATTTCCTGCCACGAGCTGTAAGATCGTTTCGTTTGTTAACTTAATAAACACAAAGTTATAAATCTGTAACTTGAAAAGAAAATACAGTTAATTATATAAAACATTAATAATAAAACATATATTTTATTGTGGTCGTGAATTAGAAGAGAGGCGCTCTTAATCTAGCATTTAAATATGATATTTTGCTATGTTACCGATTCTTACATTTTATGAGCTTATTACCATATATATTTTCAGTTTCATAACTGTAAAGGTACTTTAGTGCATGTGCAAATCATATATATAAATAACAGAGACAATTTCGCCAACACCTCTACATGAGTGTAAGATATCGGACTTCATGTTTATGTCTTGTCCAGTCAAGTTGGTTTTGCACGAGAAAATCATGCTCGTCAAGACAAAAGTTCATTATCTAAGATTTTTTGGAAAAAGAGATCTATTTATCTGATATGTTTTAATGGTGTAATTTGTACAAATTGTCTAACATTTATGTTCAAATTAGTCAAAAACTTTGTCCTCTTCGCCATTCCAATAATTACTTAGCATTTTTTCTTATCTTTAATTTACCTAGTAATTCTAACGGTTATTTAGTTCCTTAAGGCTACTCGAGCGGTTGGTAGTACCTGACTTCTTGTTCCTTGCACGCTTTTCTCGTGTCCCTGGGGGGCGTGTTGTCCTCTCATCAAATTGTCACTTTGTCAATGGTATGTAATCATTAGTATCTACTACTTTATCATCAATACTTATTTCATCATTTATCTGGCAATAACTATTCCTATCTTGCAACAGTAATTTCAAGCCATAATTTTCAAAAGATAACACATTTTCATAATACTCTGAGTCATAAAATTCAAACTTTAATGAGTTTTTCAGTCGTTAATTTAATGTGACACCTCGTAAATGGAATGTTATTCTCAAGACGAATTTGTATTTGACACTGTTTGCTTTATTTTATTTCTTTGTTGTTCTATTCTTAAAGTTCATTGTGATTATATCTTTTTACATACGTCTAAAGTTTGGTTCAAATATAGTTTTCAACAGTATTTTCAATATAGAATCTATATATAAAAAAAACTAAACAAAATTATGTCTGTTGTTATGGAACAAGTGTAAACAAATGAGGCGGCGAAGTTGTTGCTTTATAACTTTTAACGCGAAAAAAATGACATTAGAATAGTTATATAATGATGGATAGAACTAATTTGATTTTAATTTTAACTAAAAGAAACTTTATGGGCATTTTTGTATGACTGATGCATGTGCACATTTTTATTTCTTAAATTGACAATAAAAGTACAAATTAATTGCTTTGCTTTTTTACCATCTGTGCAGTTTCTGTTTATTTGTCAATCTATTATTTTTTTTAATTTCATAAATTTTAAATACTTTTTCTTCGTATTTGGCTGTTTGTGCAAATTTTTAATCGCTATTTTTGTTCTATGAAGAATATAAAGTCAAGTAAAACATTTGTATAATTATGCTATATATATTAAAGTTAAAGATTAACTCAAATAGATTCCGAAACTATGTCTTGACCTTAAAACTGAAAAATTAAAAAAGAAAAAAAAACTTCGTTCTAATCCGTGGTTAAGTGATATTTTAAACCGATAACACGTAATTGCAATTTATTCGGATAGTACTAAGATGGCATCTTTAGATTTCAACACAGCACAATAGGATGGTCGGATTTCTTCTCACACTGGGCGTTTGATGATGATGTCAGCTAATGTTCATCAAATAGGATCAAAATCTGTGAAAATCACCCGTATCAGCTCTCTGACATTTCCTGTTGAATAACCCAACAGTCCAAAAACAGTAATTATTATCCGTATCTATGTTAAGTCTTTTAGACTTTGCTTCACTTAGTTTCAATCATTTTATAATGTTTAAACTATTTCTATTCAGATTAGGTACGAAAGCCTTGATACAGGAGAGAAAAATATTTACATGACTCTTATCTAATTTTATACTCCCAATCTACATATTTCTGAAATAACAGGCCTTGAAAATAAAGGTCTCATTATAAGGACAGTGTGATTTTGTAAGTCAGATAGACAACCTGAAAAAAAAAAGCATTGGTACTCTTATGTAAAATTATCCCTCTAAAATGGATTGATTAAATATACATTTTAGGCATACTTTCATAAATCTCTTTGTTTATTACCAGATAGTTTTTTACAAATACATGACAATCAGTCGATAAAATGTTTATAGTTTTCAAACATAACACTTAAATATTTATTTATTTAGTTGAACACAAGCATATATTCAGCAAAATAAAAAAATATATAAGGACTTATAGCTTCCATCTACATGTAAGTCTGCGGTGCACCAATCACTTCCATCATAGAGTGAATCTTCAACTTGCTTTCCAAATTTTGCCTTAAATGAACAGAAATGAGCAATAGAGTATCAAAGAACTATGTCAAAAACACGTAAGAAAACCCGTTAAATCATTAAAAGGACATAAAACAGTTGTCATAACTTATCTTAGTGGGTTATTGTCACTTTTATTTCAATATCAATTTAACAAGTGGGTCGAAATATCTTTAAATGTACCTGTCGCCAACTAGTGACCACTGTCCGAGATAAGATCTACTGGTCCTCACCTTACACAAAACCTCCCCGTGGTCATTGTCCGTAAGACAGTCAGTCTGTGGTCAATAGCTTAGAAAGTGATAGCTCAATTTATTCGGACACTAAATA